ATTTCACTTTTCTTTTTTATTCAATACAACAAAGAAAACTAGAAGAGAATTACAATTAAAGTTGAACACAATACACTTTTTTTCATATCAGTTAACTGACTATTTTATCAAATAAAATCAATAAAAAATTTACTGTAGCTTGGATGCTTCCCCATTCATCCTTCATTAATTCATTGGCATCACATTCTTGTGCTATTCTATTTCTGTCACCCACTTATGACTTTCATTTTGATCATTCATATTCTTTAAGAAATTTGAGTCAACTCAGATTTAATAATCATTTGGACATGTTGACAACTACCGATTAGGTTATGAAGATCCTGTGTGAATGGAAGAGAAAAGCCTTTTTTGAAACAACTAACTAGTCCCCTTTATAAATTTTGACAAAACAACAAGAAGACAAAGTTTAATTGTTATGATACGTGTAATTTCCTATTGCTATACAGGGTCGAATCACTCGACTTCTGTTGACAGACGGCCTCGCATAGGGATCCTTCCAAATTGGCTGAATACTCATCATTTTGAAATTCACTTGCTGCCTAGCAGGAAATTACAAATACCAGTAATAGTTACCGATACTTGTTGCACAATAGGTGGCTATCGTGCCTCAGTGGCCTAGTAGGTAACGCACTGGAGTTTGAAGCTAATGGTACTGGATTCGAATCTCAGTGGGAAAAACATGACTCACTGGGGTCCATGTACATCCATCTGATGAGTCTCAAATGGATGAAAGGTACATCCTGGACCCCATTTTCCCCTCTAATCTAATATACATAAATTCGCATGTCGAGTAAGTGTGTGACCAGAACGGAATGTACCTCGCGAATACAGCACGAGCTTCTCATAAACTATGTTTTATAATTTTTTTCGAAAGTACTTCGTTAAGCGATGTAGTATTCCTATTTCGTTCTTTCCTTTCTCGGAAAAATATGTTGTTAATTATTTATGAGACTTGTAGTAGCGATAGCGTTGGCTGATGGCCACACCTTATTGCAAACTGATAGAACTAGGAAAATGTTGATCACTGGCTCGATCCAGTGGCTCAGTAATAGCTTGCTCACTACGAGACGTTGGTCCGGCCCTTGGTGGAGTCATCAGTATACATCGCTGAGAAGTCTCATACTAGGACTGTACAGTGCTACAAGGCTGTCAATGGTTCTCCAATGATGTTAGTCTGTGATGAATAATACCACCCACAAACCTCCAAACCTTAATGCTGTACAAACGGACTAACTGGAAACTTAAATGTTTCGATTCGCGCCTTTCATACCTGTTGCGCATAAAACCCTACGTCCTCAGATGAGGACGTCAAAACCAGGATCAAAAGAATAGCAAGATAGGCCTTACTTCATTAATCTGAAATCAGTATGGAAATCTACTGCACTCAGCATAAAGAACAAGATCCCGATTTTCAACACCAATGCCAGTCAAGTCAGTGCTCCTATATGATGGTTCACAGACTTGGCGCGTTACGAAAAGCATTTCCAACAAACTGCAGACATTAATCAACAGCTACCGCCCACACTCACTCGATACTGAAGATGATCGGACGACCAGAATAATAAGAATAAGCAACAAGGAACTCTACCTGCCTGGCAATGAACCAACAACCTATCACCCAACAAATATGCAGAAAGTGGAGATGGATTGGACATAGACGGAGAAGACAGTTTGGAGATATCACACGCCGGGCTAGGCAGTCGAGTGGTAATCAAATGGGAAACAATGAGTTGGGCATCCGACGGTGACAATGAGATCATATGAGGAAGAAATGAAAGGTTGTGGGCAGTCGTGGAGTCAGGTTCAAAAGACTGGAGGGAAGAGAGTGAAATGGTGACGTGCTACTGGAGCCCTATGTTCCACTAGGAATCCAAAGGATAAATAATAATAATAATGCATGAAACCCTATTGTCTGCGTATAGTAATTGCTCACAATGACATGGGACCTGATAGTACTACAAACTTTCAGACTGTTACACATCATAACGACAAGGAAAACTAGTCAACAAAGTCATAAAGCAAATTCTAGAGAATGATAGCTAACGGCATGTAAAGATCTAATAATAGGAATGTTTGATTATGAGAAGAGGAAGAGAGATAAACTTATCCATAACAGTTACACGAACTTTGTATCGTATCATCAGAATACCCAATATTTGACTTATAATAACATGAAGACCCTATCAACAAAGCTACCTTTCATCAGTAAGCTGAGACGAATATTCGATGAATGTAGAAATTGGTATGTTTCCGGTTTGTTAACTGTGTGTGTTCTTTTACTATACTTTTGCCCGGTTGGTAGCGTAAATCAGAGAAGTCCCTTTCTTTTTCCAATATTTTATGGAAAATCTTTAGTGTTTAAGTGTAAGAACTAACTTGCAATTCATATGTGAACAATTCACAATGTAATGTTCTCTGACTATGACGAGTAAGTAACAAAGTTTAGTTTCTCAATGACTAATTAATTTTGAGGTAGTATATATCACGAACTGATCTAGAAACTCTGGAAAGCTGTTTTGTTCTAGTCTGGAACTCCTCAGCAATAAGCACCCATGACTCGGCTAGATACTGGACTCAGTACCTTCATGTTTCTTGGCGGACGCGTAAACCATTCAACCATTGGGTCAGAGTTCAGTGGTTCATAGTTCCCTACTTCTGTCAGTTCGCGATATAGTGTGACCATCACTCAGTGTCTTTAGTTGGCATCCACTTTCCCTCCGATTGGTTGACCCCACAGGTCACGGCTACTCATTAGAACCATTGAACTCCGACTAAGGGACTGAATGGCCAACACGTTCATCGTGAAACCTGACGGTCCTGAGTCTGATTCCCAGCCGAGTCGTGGATGTGCATTGCTGATGAGTTCCAGACTAGGACGAAACAGCCCTCCACTGCTTTCAGGTTTTCAAGGGTTCTCAGACTGATATCGGTCTATGATGAATACTACCTCGTAAATAAAATCCCCATTAACCTCAGAATACATAACTAACTAATCTTAGAAAGTGTTCTTCTTCTCACAACTAGTATGCCAGTGACTTTTTAGAGTTGAAAGGTAAGGATACTGAAGTTATTACAACTGTATATACTCTTCAGCTTAAAGCAACCTTCTGTTGTGATGTCAACGAAGAGGCTGCTATCAGGACTTCATCAAGACTGAGTTGAGCACCATATCACAGACTAAAGATGTTTCTACTTGTGAAGACGCTCGAAGAGCTTTTGGTTAAACTTATTCTTTATAAGCTTTACTTACTTTCCTATTCAACTACTGGTTAAAAAAGGCAAGCCTACAATGATATTTTTCCAACACTCATTTCATCCAGATATGAGATATAACTTGTTCTGATTCTTGCTTGTTGTCGACTTTAGGGGTCTGACTAACTGTCTACTTGTTGATTTTTATAAACAACTTTACGTATTGTAGTCTATTTGATGATTAGCAGAGCAATCCAGGATGTTCGTTCCATCCTGTTTGGGGCTCGTCAGATGGATGTACCTGCCAAACAGTGAGCGATGTTTCTCCCAATAACACTCAAACCCAGGACCTTTCGTGTCAAACCCAAGGGCGTTATCCACTAGGCCACCGAGTCAACCAAGTTTAGTCAATGACAGGTTAATAATACGAGTAACAACATAAAGACTATATCTGTAACACAAGAAGTGGCTCACATAACATGGTGGCTTAGTGAGTGATGCCCTGGCATTTGAAGCGATCATTTCCGGGTTCGAGTCCCAGCGAGACGGACTTCCAGCTGTCGAATATCAGAGAAAATGGAACCCATGTCTTCGATATTACTGCTAATCACCATTCATTTTTCATCTCGAAACCAAACTACTAAATGTACTGAGGAATGCACAGAAGCCTATATACCAACAGTGGTTGGCTGGTTTAAATGAAGCACTGTTGGAGTATAACTCAACGGTTACATTGGGTATAGGTCGTTCTACATCGTGAACGAACAGAAGCTGGAAATATGGACCACTGGACTCCGGCCCAGTACTTCAATGATAACGTGCTGGCCACGGACCTGAAGGTGAGGGTTTTGATCCCTGGAGGGTTCATGGGTGCTCACTGTTGAGGAGTCTCATACTAGGACGAAACGGTTGTCCAGTGCTCCAGCGTTTCCAATGTTTCTCCAACTGATATAAGTCCATGTTGTGTGCTAACTTGAAATCTAAAATGCTGTCTGCAATAATCTTTGACATTCATTTTAGAATTTACGTAGTTTCCTTGTTTGAAGTTATACAGTGGATCATGGAAAATATATGAAGAAAATGCTTTCTTTAAATCGTAAGAGATCAATAATAAACCGTATCAACTTGAACATTATTGCCTTTAGTTCAACTTATTTTTGTATGATCCTAAGTCATTTCTGATTGGTACGCTATACGACCTTGGTAACACCTTCCCCTTTACTTCAATTGACAAATAAAATTTCAGTTGGCTAATTTATCCTGCGGCTATCTCTATCCCACAACTTACTTTCTACCATGGTATGATACTATGATGGTGGAGAGTAGGTAAGAAAACTTGTTCAAACTCCTTTTCTTCCCCTTGTATTCTTATCTATATTATTGGAGAGGAAATTTCCCTTGGTAAAACCAGACTCACAGCATGCCTCAGGGCAGAGGAATAACAAATGTAAGCATTGAATCTGAAGGATTAATAAGTTAGAAAAGGAATATTCACCCCTCTGGGCATTATATCATCTGTCTCGCAATTATTATTCGATATGAACCTATCAAATAAAGTTTTCACTTTAGGTAAGTGTGTGGTTTGAGGTGTGCAAAAAACTTGTTGGGTTTATTGATTTAAAAGCAAAGTTTTATACCCAAGTTCTTTAACTGCCTTCGGCCATTCACTGTATAGATCTTCGAGGAATTGACTGGTTCTTACAACTGACTAGAAGGCGCTTCCATAATTTACATTGCCTCTAGGGTGCGAGATCGAAATAGCTGGAAGCAATATCTACTCTGATAGTCCTTTACAAATTGACTGATACATGTCTTCAGTTATACAGGTGAGTAAATTAGTGTATTATTCTGCCAATAATAGTAATAATTACAATTGTATTTTACAGCATAAAAATGGATACACTAACTACTATTTTTCGATACACTATGTAGTTTTAAAAAAATCTATTTGCGTTCTTTGGTCACATTTGATTTTATGCCGCCCAGTGGTCATGCAATGACTTTAAGTGTATAACTCATACGTTTTTCTGAATGAATTAAACAGGAGTAATTTTATGGTGTGAGGATCTTTGATTTTGGCATTAGTCATTACAATTTCACTCGTAGATTATTTAAATCCTTTTAAAATGTTCAGTTATTAATGATGACCGCCAGTATTGACATAACTGAATTTAAACTATAGTCAATTGCAACAAACCCATCCTTCGTTAGTCAACTAGTAAGCCAAAATTTGTTTGGTTACAATGTAACTCAGATGTGCTTAGTATCTAGGACTGCTTTTCAACTAGTAACATGTATCATACAAAATAGTTGATAAATAGGGATTTCCAATATCTGTACATGATCAGTGAATATTTGGCTATCTATGAAGAATTCAGTAAACATAATTCATAGGTGAATAATTACCAAAGTCGAAATCAAAACTGGATTTTATTGTCTAAGAATTATCAGCACAGAGTTGAGTTCTCGATCATAATTACAGTAAAATTATATTACATTCCATGAGTACTGTGCCTAGTTTTTTTATCACAGTACCATTACGACAAGTTGACAAAAAGAATGTTTAGTGTTCCACAAATTCTCAGTTATCAATATATATATATATATATTCGTAAAATAAAGGAGACTGATACGCGGAAAAATACCTACTGTGTAAAACGATGTTTATTTTTAACTAAGTTCTTTTTTCGATAAAAACTAGTGGTGAACTAAGATCACTAAATAGACTATGAAATGATATAGAAATTGCTGGGATAGTTGTTGACTGTCGTTTTGAATTCTCTTTGGCTTAACAAAGAGATAATTTCCTTTAAGTGCCTTTTAGTATACTGAAATAAAAACTGTCAGACAACTCATATTAACCATAATTAAGTTTGTAAGTATACTTCTAGCATGGTGCTAGCTTAAAAGTAGTTATTTTTCAAGTTGGTATTCATCATGGACTAACATCAGCTGGAGGAGCACTGCAAACCTGCAAGCACTGGACAGGTGTTTCGTCCTAGTACGGACTTTTCGGCAGTGTCCACTCGTGACCCCGCTGGGGGTCGAAACTAAGACCTTGAGGCTCTGTGGCCAGCACATTACCATTGAACCGCTAGATCGGGATCCATTGATTCACATTTCCTACTTCTCTCAGTTCACAACATCACCCAATGTCATCGTTGAGTATTTGTTCTCATGCCCCACCGGTCACGACTGTTCATTGGAACTTCAGGAATCACCTCTAAAAGCTAGTCACCAATAACCATTAGATAGTGAAATTCTTCTTTACGGTTTAAGAAAACAGCTGAAAGTATGTAATCTCACTTTGAAACTTATTATTTTCTCTACAACACAGGATCAATTTTCAACAGGTATATGTGCTTCGGAGAATGAAACCAATTCTGAAGTGGATAACACACTAACTGGGGGAATCCATTCAGATTACCAACCACCATATTTCCCTCCACCTTATTATCCACCTATTACTACACCAATGATGATGATCGATACTACTGCTACTAATTTAGGCGCAAATCCATATTATAACAGTGGACAGAATGCATCATTTCTGAGTGTACAAACAATTATTCAGGGAGTTTCTATCAAACAAATTTATGTCAAAATCCATCTGGATTGAATCAGCATTTACAGCTACAAAATCCTCCTCAGCAGCACCAACAACAGCAGCAAGTACAACAACAACAGCAGAGAATGCATACAAATGCATCGAATTTTCCATTTTGTTCATATTTCACTACAAATCCCAATTATTATTCATCCATAAATAATATGAATGGATCTATGCTGTCGGGAGAACATTTAACAGATGTTAGTAGTACAGCTAGTATGTTCGCCAGCTATCCATTTCATTATTCATTACAAACCGGCATACAAGCAGGTGGTACAACTGCAGACCAGGTAATACTATCAGTGTAAACATATTTTTGTCTTTTTTCACTATTAGTTGGCTTTCACTAGTTGTAGTTTTCTAAACACAAATATTCCAAAAAGATCTATTCATCACGTTGAATTCTTACTTTTAATGTGTAGTTGATATTCATGTTATCCAAATCTATTTTAAAAACCAACTAAAACCACGGAGTACTGAACTGTCGGCTTACTGTTCGCAGTTTGATCCCTGGTGGCTTCATAGGTGGGCACTGCTGAGAAGTTCCATACTAGAACGAAACGGTACTCCCAGATTTCAAATGTTCCTTCAACTAACGTCAGTCCGTGATGAATTTCGACCTGAAACAATTGTATTACTCAGTTGACTCCTAGTGGTCAATATTTTAACCTGAGGTGTCCTATGATATACTGGTCTTGTCTTTAGGTGTAGCGCGCAATAATATCACAACGTCTATAGAGCAATCAGCTAGATATAAAAGTCACTTCTTGTCATTAGAATGCCATTAGTAAAAGTCTTTCAATATATCATTTAACCTTATGAGGATTAATAGCAGCAATTCTAAGGCTTATCAAGAACTGATGACTTCATTTTTGCCAACAATTCTTGAAACAACACCCATCTGTGCATTAAAATTCATTTATGTTGTAGGTCAACTTTAAAGAGCCTCAGGGAAAACAAAACAACTTATACGTCATCCATGGTTTCCAATAATTTAACATGTCTGGGTCTAGGACTTCCCCATAGACTGACTTGTATTAAGGATACATCAGTTACATTTTTTCATGTCATTAAAAATCCCCACTACAGTTCAAAAGCTATTCGAGTGAACGAAGAATTTTCGTGAGTGTAACAAAAGTTCTAATCAACTTGTATATCAGTGTTATACTTCAGGAACTTATTGCGAACCATCAACACAATGAGTTCTTGAGGCATAAAGCTAAACTCATAGAGATTCTTTGTTCATTCAATCAGCATTTGAGTCGTAATGAGAACATATAAGTTGATTAAAACTTTCTTATATTTGTAAGTCTTAAGCTAAAAAAGAGTATTATAATTGTTCAACGTGAGTGAGTATGCAGAAGTGATCTACGGACAATCATGACGAAATATATAAAAGTTGAAGCATTTTTAAAATCTTTTCAAAAATGGTAAGCCTTATCAACAATCAATAGGAGAAATAAGAATTTTCAGTCGATATCACCCAGTTAACCAAATGTTATGTAATCAGGTGAACTTCTTTTGATCACATATACAATCTTCGATAAAGTGATGGAAGAAGATTTCGAAAGTCTCTATCGTTCTAAATGTCGATGAAAATGTAACAGTAAGACTTGGACACTGTGGTAGGTTGTAATTCTGTTCATTAAATGTGTAACAATATTATCTACTGGATAACGTTTCAGAAATAATTTATTTTCCGTTGTCATATCGAATGTCTGCAACGTTATACAGTAAATAATACTGTATCACTGTGTGATACACTTCATAAACAGACTTAAATGGAGTCGATGAAAATGCTGCCTATTATTATTATTTTTCCATTGGGTTCCTAGTGGAACATAGGGCTTCATTATCAGTATAGGTTGTTGGTTCATTGCCAGGCAGGTAGAGTTCCTTGTTGCTTATTCTTATTATTCTGGTCGTCCGATCATCTTCAGTATCGAGTGAGTGTGGGCGGTAGCTGTTGATGAATGTCTGCAGTTTGTTGGAAATGCTTTTCGTAACGCGTCAAGTCTGTGAACCATCATATAGGAGCACTGACTTGACTGGCATTGGTGTTGAAAATCGGGATCTTGTTCTTTATGCTGAGTGCAGTAGACCTCCATACTGATTTCAGATTAATGAAGTAAGGCCTATCTTGCTATTCTTTTGATCCTGGTTTTGGCATCCTCATCTGTGCCGCCTGTAGTTGAAATGATGCCGCCTAGGTAGGTGAGAGAGACTACTTCCTGTAGGTTTCTCCCGTTAATGGTAATTGGTGCTTGTTGTTGATGCTGTTGTTGGCTGGGTATGTTCATCACCTCTGTCTTCTTCTACATTCACTTGAAGTCCCATTTTCACTGCCACTTCTGTTAACTTGTTAGTTTTCGCCTGTAGTTCTTCGAGTTTGTGCGACAGCTGCCTACTATGATAAGTTGTTTTGCTACAGTAGTGATAAAAATCTACATTTTTATACACCCTTCACTTTACTCATTTAAATGCATAAAATATTTCAAACATCATTTAATATAACCTTACCAAGCGTACACCAACATGCTGACTAGAAAACTGATTAACACTCGGTTGGAATATTCAAAAATTCCCCGTCAGGACATACAAAATTACTAGAGCTTTTCAGTATTATTTTTAGTATGCTCAGTGACTTTTTAAAAAGTTCCATCAGGTCATTCAGTTATGGAAATTTCAAGATAAGTTATAAATTGAGTGAATTTGTCAACTTTCTCCTTTGTTTTTATTATTTACAGATGTTGAACACTCTTCCAAATTCTAAAATATCTGAAATGGTTGGTCATTTGACACAAAGTAACATTAAAAGCAGTAATTCCAAGTCAGAGAGTTTAAAAATTTCCAATGAAAGAGTTGAAATGGAAAATTCAGCTATCAGTTCTCAGTCCTTGTTTATTCATCGCCCAGATATTCATCACCGTTCTCTTATACCCAGATATGATTTACCAGAGAAGAATTTTAGGCAATCAGAGGATACAGGGGATTCAAACTATCAACAGGTAAGGAAGCAAATAATTCAGTTATCTAAAAAGATCTAGTTTTTCCTACTAGTTTAAAATTTTATAACCCTTGTTTAGAAAAGCTTTTTCACTAACTTTAAAGTATGATGATTAAAGTCTCAAACGTTCGCTGGTAATTGGATGAATAATCTGTTACTTGACAACCTTGTGCAGGAAATAAAATGATCCAGTTTATTTAGAAGTCTTAGGTTCTTAGTAAAGCAGCTTAATAGCGTCAGAAGCTCTAATGACTTTGAATTTTGATACCTTGGTTATGTACACTCTATTGAGACCATGAAAGTATTGTACTATTCCGATGATTGATAGCAGAGAAAAATGCAATGTAGAACTACAAGATGGCACACCAGATCATTTAGATACAGTTAGCTTTATTCCACTATGTACATTGTGTTAATGTAACTGAAACGGAATGAGGTCTTTGTTTAGAATTTTATGTTGAATAGGTTTCAGAACTTAATTTCATACGTATACTTAGTGATAGGGTTTGATATAATTTTCTTCGATTATATTTTAGTCATCCAACATGTTTGGATTAAAGTTTATGTACAGCTTACGTGCAATGTGCATAAATTGAACTAAATTGTAGTATCTATCACAGACTGAAAACCTGTGATCACTGGATATCTGTTTCATCCTAGTATAGAATTTCCCAGAAGTGTTCATCTACAACCCCATAATAGATCAAACTTAGGAATGTCAAGTTTGTCGTTAGCCCATGAAGAATATTACTTTGCGATCGATCAGTCCCCATAAACCATCAGTTAAATTAAAATGTCCTTGACACTTTTATCATCTGGTTCCAGGGGACTTATAGATGAAGACTTGGAGAAATTCTGAAGAGGGTTAAAGAAAAGAACTGACTGACCAACAACGTCATAATCAGATGCAAGCGAAAATTTGTGTACCTTTTTGAGGCCGCTATTCAAGCTGCAACCAGTTTATTGAGTGAAGTAACTTAAAGTTGTTCAGTCGAACCTAATTGATGTCGCAGAAGCCAGGACATTGAGTGATACCTTTTTGCACAGTCTTCTCAGTTTTTACAATGATATTAATAACTGATTTTACTTAGGAATATATGTATATAACACTGTTCACCCTGTGAGCACGGATACTTTATTGCTGCTTGCACTCTATTGGGCACCTGTATTTGGTCTTTATTAGAACCATGGATTTCCTTGAAATATGGGACACTGAATAATCAGACCAGCCATGTTTCTTGTTTTTTGTTCTCAACATTTAGTGAGCTACTAGTTCGTTGGAGGCTTTCAGTAAGGTTTATCACAGATAACCAGACTGCTGGCAACAGTTATGATCCAAAGCTCAGGAGTTTGCAATCAAAACTTCATCCTGAGTGATGATCAACTCTTGACAAGTGAACTTGCGGGATACATCGTCACCAAAAACATAAACCCCACCTGTAAATAATCTTCACGATATTTATCATTGTTATCTGTATCAATAACTAGACTTTGTTGGCTGGAAATGTTCACCTGGATAGATTTTATAGTAGCCACTTCTAGTAAAATGCTAAGGTTAAACAAACTTGTGATCAACTTGTTGAAGAAAGTTTGGTTAAAAACGAGATATCCATACACATTTCCTAATTTTTAGAGTGGAACTCCTTCTTCCATCGACACTACAGGATCGTCACCACATAATTCGTCACAGTTTTTATCACCTGGATCGAACAAAGGAACTTTTGAAATCGGACAAGAAGTAAGTAGGTCACAGATGAATCCATCTTCAACTGATACAAGCGGAAATCCTTATTCGTCCCCAAGTCATCGTGGCACAACCAGTGAATTAAATTCAAACGAAAGAGTACTAGAATGTACTTTAAGAGGTAGTGGAGATGAGAAATATATTTTAAGACCATCAAGTTATCCTGACGTAAATTCCTTGAAAAATGCATTTGACTTTGGATTTTCTTCAGAAATCCAAGGCTTAACAGGTGGTCTATCAAATGATCCCACAACAGCCATGCTTCAAACGAATCTGCCTTACAATATAGATCAATCTAGTTCGTATATATCACATTCTCAAGCTAAAAGATTTCAAACTAGTTTTCCTTCTGGATGCACACAAAATCTAACTTTTCAACAAAATGCTTCCACAACACCTGAACAAACTTTCAGTCGTTTAGCTGGAGGAGTGAATGGAAAAAGCGGATTCTGTAAACGAGGTTAGTTTGCTGTCTGTCATCTCAATCGAACATTTACGTTTAATAACTATGTAGTTAGTTAAGAGAGGTAAATATCTTCAAATTCTCTTTTCGACCAGGCAAGAGGGATTCACACGATGCAAGTGTAGCGTGCTAAATAATAAAAATGAATTCAAAATGGTTGCTAAACTAGAGTTAGATTGGTGAACTTTGAGCTCAACCTAGATAAAAAGACCTGCTTTTTTTCTAAAATTTCACTTATCAAGAATAAGGTGAAAGGTTTTTGTTAAAATTATTGATGATAATGGTTAAGAAATTAAGCAATTTCTATAGTCATTTGGCGGTAAGGGATTCGCATAAGTGAATTTTTCTATCTGCTTCCATCTGTTTATCATAGTTCTCCACCAATATACCTTCTGTCACGCGACAACTTGTTTTGCATAACCAACCCCTGAAGGTCAACTTTTTATGTGATATACTGCAAGGCAAGTCACATACATCACAACGCCACATAATCTACTTTCATGTACGGGACAACCAAGAGCCTACTAAAAAGAGTTGAAATGTACGAAGAAGTTAGGTGCGTATTTGAGAAAATGATTTGCAAAACTTTAAGTAGTTTGTTCCACATCTTGTTATTATCACCTGGTGGTCTCTAGACATTAGTATGACCGGGCAATCTAGAAGCACCGGACGACTGGACATTTGACGAAGTTTAGCCAATACTTAATTTGAAATGTCACACCATTTTGTCTTTATAACTAAAAAACAATCAATAAGATGAATGGTAAGTCACCAAAACTGTTAAGATTTTTAGATCAGGTATTAAACAATTTTCTGGAATATGACACCACATTATGACTTAACGGGAAACATTTACGGCCTGGATTGTAGACATTCTCACAGCTTCAGAGTTTTCTAAGTTTGGTTTTGACATTATGAAAACTGGAGGAGCACTAGAAATACCAGAGTTTCGCATTACATATATAAACTGCCGGCTAAATTTAAATATGATTTATGTAACTTAAAGGAAAATATGCCTCAATTATAAGTTTTTGACAGGGAACTTATTTTCTAGTTCACAATGGTGAACAATGTTCAAAGTGTATAGAATGAGTACTAAGCTAGATCATGCCATATTTTTGCCTACTGCGTTTGGTACTAGGTGTCGGTGGATGTTTTACGTTAATTCCCTGCTCACATAAACAAGTGAAGCAGAAACTGATGAATAAAATGTATTGATACTGGGTGATGACTGAAGGTGAAATGAAATTAAGGACCACAGAGGGATTCGAGCCAGTGGCCACAGTGTTTCCAGCCTGGTGTTCTACAAACTGAGCTACGAGGTCTGACTGCTGGGGCCTCTTTTTATTTCATTTGGTGACTGAACTGAATTAAAAATCTGACCAGCAGTTGGGCTTCGTAGCTCAGCAGCAGAGCACCGGGTCAACAACTCGGCGGTCACTGGTTAGAATCCAGCTGTGGTTCAAATTTTCATTGCACCTTCAATCATCACTCAGCATCAATACTAGTCTACCAAATCACAACTATTTCAGACAGTCAAAATTAAACAGTGCCAGAAAGATTGTAAAAACAGTTAGAGCAACAAGTGAAGCAGAATGAAGCAGATTCAAAATATCTCTTAGCTATAAATTTAAGCTTCCTTATCTTACAGATTGAAGTTACTACACACTAAAACAAACGTTTGATAACCTATTCAAATAATCTCTGTCACCTACCTCACAGATTATCAGTTACTAAAGTGGTATTCATTTTGTTCTTTGATACATACCTTAGTCATCCACACCAGATATCCCTCAGTAATCAGTTGGACTACAACTACTGCATGGTAGTCAGTCCCTGTGACTGAAGTGCTTATAAAGCATGAAGAGTATAAAGACAGTTTAAATCCAGTTTAAGTGAGTGCTTGTGCATATATCTCGAAAAAAACTGTTTCAAAAGGGCACTGAAAGAATACTTTATGTGAAAATTCACATTCTTAATTGTTTATATTCCGATCAACATTCTATTTTATCCTTTCAAAGTTTTACATTTTTCAGATGGTTAGTACTTTTCTGTAATGCTACCCCTAAGCTAAACATATGGAGGCAAGAACTGTAGATTTATGAAAAAATTTAATGCAATTAATTATCATGATTACTAACCTACGGATATACATGGAGAAAGAAAAAAGGTGAATTTTTCAGACATAATAGACTAAACCTGTCAAACACGTGTGTATACAAACTAATCTACAGGGACTGTGGCTTTCCGCAGACTAATACTTTTCATAATTCTGAAAAGCGAATCCCCCCTTCCCTAATATTACTGTTACGTATACATTAGATTATGCATAAATTACATTTTTCGAATTTCATTAAATTTATTCCACTATAGGGTGAATTACATGAATGCTACCTCCTATTTTGTCTGAAAAGAAAAAATAACAGCCAGAAAAACTACTTCCCGTATAAATTTGTTGGAATAAAAGTTAGGAATAGAAGAAATTGTGATATTTATAAATAAATAAAAAATTTCAATTTAATTGAACTTTTAAGATGAAAGTGTTTTCAGATAGAAAAAGATTATAATTGTCCACCAGTGCTTTTACCTATGACCAATTTATAGAGAAAATTACAGCTAATTTGAGCCCAGGTGTATGATTTATGTCATTTTCAACCATATGAATTAGAATAAGCTTCAAGTTTTTCTAAGCTTTAGTTTGTTAAGACAAATGAATAGTATTTCAAGCTATGTACTTAGTATTTCTCTGATTAGCCAACAAAATATTCAGTTAATGGTAATTTAAAGTTTAAATGGAATGATTATTTTAAGACTAGTAACGAAATGTCGCGAAAACATGTTGCTATTCTTCAAGTTTCGATACTTGTTTCTTATGAAAACTTACTTAATAATGCAGTCTTCTTTACTAACTTATTATTGATGATGTCACCTAGCCTTATGAAGAAAACTTCACTATCAAATTTCAGAGTTTGGCTAACATCAGACTAGTGTTAAAATTCCAAATATTGATGTTTCGTATCTATAACTCCTAAAGTGATCGCTGACAATGATATAAGCAAAGTTACCGTACAAGATAATACAAAGTAAGATTATACCATCTGTATGTTCACTTCAAGTTTGTACTTCAAACGATAAGAATTTATTTAGGTTGCAGTTACTAAAGTATGTGTCCTGAAATTGTTATCAATCTTTTCATCTTTGACATTGCTGTTTTTCACTGCTAAATTCATGAAAAAAATAACTAAATCTAGTAAAGATTTTAGTTCATAACTGAACTGTAAACTGCTTCGAAAACAACTGATTCCCCATGAAACTACTGACTGGAGGATTATATAATGCCAATACATGGTTCGCTTTTACAGAGATCTCACAAGACTCTAGTAAGAAGCTGTGACTTTTAGGGTCTACCAGGTTGGATATGGCGAAATTGAATAGTTGTCCCATGGCAATGAGAATTGATAGAATGAATAGTAAAATAAAGTCTACTGCATTTCATTCCAGTGAGTGAACTGTAAAGTGCTCATTTCTGTAGACAGATAGACTAAATATGGAGATCTGTATCCCTGAAATTGCTTCTAGGTCAATAGTCATTGCTTATTTTAAATTCGTGGACTGTTATCGTCTCCATCCCTATGTTGTGTATACTCTAATTTTCACAGCTGTAGTGACAAACCCACTAATAAAACATTGAATACTAAACAGTTATGTCCCAACGAAATATAAGAAGTCAGTAAATGCTTTGCAACTTCTGAAATCGAACGTTTCTGCATGGATAGAAATATTTAGGTGTAAACCTGACAAAAATACTATATCTTATCAAAGGCAGAACTAAACTAAGAAATATCAAACATAAGATTCCATTCAAGTGTACATATTAAACACCTATCTTGAGATACGAGTTAATTTAGTTTATATCGTAGTGGAGTTGATAATGTTGCACTGAAATACTCAATTAAAAAAATGATATTTGTTGAGCGCTTCTCGACTGTAGGTATTTTTGTGAGAAAAAAATCACTTTATGAATATATATATACCAAATGCTGGCCCCCACTGACAAGTATGGATTAAAAACGAGATAAAATAATGATACCATTTTAGTCGGACACCTCATTTATTCCATGTTGGATAACTGTTGAACAAAAGTAGCAATAATGGCATCTTCTTGTTATCTCGAGTACCAGTAACAAGTCGAAACTCAAGTATCTTACTAATGTACTCACGTCTTAATGGAGTAAACTCTTTACCAATACGCTCGTTAGTTGTTTTTTGACTAGTTTAGACCGTCAACATATCGACAATATTTAAAAATGAATAAATAAGTGGATAAATTCACTATTTAAAGTGTATACAGTTTGATGTACATTTGCATCGAGGGATAGAACTTTGTAAAGATTTAAACCCTTTGTAAATATAACATTATTATAATAGCGTTTATTGTTGAAATTCTATTGGATCAATTACTTCATAGTTTGAATATTATTTGGTAATGAATGAGAATGAAATTTACAACCTACTGTTTGGTCTATCCAAAATGTTTTAGCTGGATTTGGCGGTATTTCGATATGACAGTGTTTCCACTGCAACTGAGGCTCAGAATCCTACACTTCAGAAAATTATGCCTTAAGCTACCAACTTGGAGTGTACACTTGTTGTCAGTAGAACTATTTTTGGGGATAGTACTGCTGGTCCGTTGGGACTTCAACTTTTTATGAATGACTTCCAACGTACACTTTTTCCAATCTGATTTTCTGACAACACAGTATCATTTTGTCAACAAGTTTTTCATTAAAAAACCAATCTGCCGAGAACAAATGTTATTACATTTGGCAAGGCAATCTCATATCATGAACACTCAATTTGTTTTTGCTCAAAATGAATTGACAACCACAAAGATGTATAATACAGATATTTTTCTGAATTAATTCACCACGACACCAGATATTAGAGTTCAGACCAGTAGTTTTCATATTTATACATCCATGCTTGTAATTATATTATCTGAACTGCTATTATAAGAGAGTAAATATTTGATTCTTTAATAAAAGGGTATAACTTTGGCAGTGTGGTAGATTTTAATTCCATTTTAGCCTGTTCATTAGAAATGTCACACAGTATCATCTACTAGATAATGTTTCAGATAACCTATATGACTACAGATAATAAATATTTCTGAAATGTTATTCAGTAAATGATACTATATGACAATTGTAATCAATAGGCTGACAATTCAGATGACTGTAAACATTACGACATAATTCGGTCACAAATCAACTTCAAACCCCTTTAACGAGTGTTAATCCCAATCTTCTCTGTTCATACTTAAAATTCCTTAAAGGAGCAAACTGTCAAGCTCTCCGTGAATGAAATCGCAGATTTTATGTTTTTTGGGTTAACGGGACATAGTGAGTTACATGGAATAAATTATCTCGTTAGTGTTCTAAAACACTGAACACTTTATGGTGTTTCACGTCTATCTTATTGTATTTTTAAAGATGATTTACCCGTTGATCATGAAAAAACCCAAATCAGGTACTACTGGACTTGAATGCGACATCTCGGTGATCTTTTTTCCCCGATTTTCGCTGGAAATGAAATTTCTATGTGGATGTGAAATACTTTGAATTGGAACAGTATGTTGTATAGCTAGAAAAGAGAAAGCCGAGTACGCAGTGTAGTTTATATATATATATATATATATATATATATATATATATATATATATATACATAATTTAGTACTTTGTTAAGTATGATTCAAGGAGTTAATTTGTTTGCTCTTTTTTTGAGTAGCAAATCTCTTTTTTAAGATAATAAATCTGAGAAACTAGTTTCTCTTTTTTTCTTTCTGAATGAAACCCATCATTATGCAATTCCACCCTATTTTCCTCACATAAACAAGTTTTACTGGTCATAACAGTTTGACATTAGGAAAGTTAAAAGTGAAGGGTTTATATTTGAACGCGTTTACCGCCCCCCTATCCTCTTTCTGTATTTCATGTACACAATGAACTGAAATAAATACAACCATTTTCACACTTACGATGTGTTTCTAATCCCCCTAATGATAAGATTACCAAACTTATAATGATGACTTCAGTTTATCTGCTTATTTCGATTATGTACGTGGGATTTATTTTTGTTTGCTTGTTTGTTCATGTGTGTTCAGTAGCCACAGTAGTAGAGAAGCAGTGAGTCTTCTGATCACAATGAACTGTAAACAGCCATAAGCTGTTAATAAATGATTCGAGAATTACGTAATAACTTACAATTATTTAATACAAGTTACTCAAAACAACGCGAGTGAGTGTTTAACTGAAAAGATTATACTGATACAAACTGACATCATTTATGAAGTGAATACTTTAAGATGCCCTTTTGCTTCTTTCACTGTAGAATTACTGGCTAAAATTCTTTTCGAAATACATTAATGTCATATGGATTAATGTCATCTTGACTTCACAGCATATTTAACTGTTCAATAAGGATAGTAAAGTTATAATTAGCAAAGAAACCTTTTACTCATTACTGGAATTCTATTTCATTAACCCACTAATCTTTTGTGGATATAAACATATGAAGGGCTTGATTTAGGATTTTAATCAACTAAAGTACTTGATGATATACAAAGTAACATATATGTTTCAATTGGGGGGTTTTATGGGGATTTATTGATTTTAAGTTGGTATTCATCACGAAGTGACATCAGTTGGAGAAACATTAAGAACCTGGGAGCACTAGGTAGCTATTTCACCATAGTACGGGACTCAGCAGTGCTCACCGATGACTCCGCCAGGGATCGAACCCAAGACCTTGAGGTCCATTGCCAGCTGGTTACGACTGAGCCATCTTGTCGGAACACAGTGGTTTATATTTCCTACTTCTTTCAGTTCACGATATAGGGCGACCTCTATCCAATGCCGTTGTTGAGTAACTGTCTTCACGTTCACCTGGTTTACCCCACCGGTCACGACTTCTCACAGGAACTTTGAGAATCACCTTTTGAAGCTAGTCACTAATAAGCACTAGATCAATTCAATTTAGGGTATGTGGAAATTTATTGACTTTAAGTTGGTATTCACCATGAACTGACATCAGCTTACAATTTTTTCATGGTTTCCAATATAGCTCCAACTGATGTCAGTCCATGATGAATCCCAACTTGATAATACATAAATTGTTGAAATGACTTGATAAAAATGTGAGATGACCTAAAAGAAAACTAATGGTGCATTATGCTAACGTTGATAATATACTGGGTGATGGCTGAAGGTGAAATGAAAATTTTGACCATAGCGGCGATCGAACCAGCGACCACCAGGTTTCCGACGTGGTCCTTTATTAACCAAGCTACCAGATCCGAATGCTGACCAGATTTGTATTTTACTTCAATCATCAAGGGTTTTTCCTGACCACCACGTGAATTCCTGACGCGTCACTATCGCTTGATCGTGCTCACACTGGCTGTCCAGTCAAGACCTCTTATACCAATCTAAATCTACCTGAATTAGATGGATGGAGCATCATATTGATTTTCATTTTGACCATCTGAATGAAATATTCGTGGTTTGGTAGACTAGTCTTGATACTGAGTGGTGCATGGTAACGTAATAAGATCATGACTTGGTTCACGGTTCATGAAAATGAGGTAAGACGGGTATATAACTCATGCGAATCATCCACTGTACCAGTCAAGCGGCACACAGCAATTTTTATATATTTATAAGTGTCCAAAATGTCCCTTCGATAACTGGAACGGTTTTTCGATAGAATTATTCTGCGTTGTGTAAATTCAGAAAATGCAGCTGTTCATATTCGCCCGTGAATTAAAAAATCTAAAATACAGGAAACTGGACACCATCTACCAGTACAAATAAACACTGAAGGTTAGTTATAGGCAAAAGGATAAAAGGAAATGTCTCACTCATTTTACCAATACCTATAAATTTAAAATTCTTAATGAGCATCAAACATAGTAATTTACTGAAATCTTTAAAGTAAACAGTCCACGAATTGCATCATTTCAATATTTATCGATATCAACATACATCAAATATAAAATGTCGATGATGTTACAATTCTACCTTTTGTATATCTAGGTATTCGTTACAAAACAGCTTTGGAGGGTCGAACAGAATTTGTAAATGGACCAAGTCCATCAGATATATTTTGCACTGTTCCTGGGCGTTTATCACTACTAAGTTCCACTTCAAAATACAAAGTAACCGTTGCTGAAGTTCAGAGGCGTTTATCACCACCTGAATGCTTAAATGCTTCGTTACTTGGAGGAGTTTTGCGCAGGTAAATTAGTCTTAATGAAGTCAAATTTATCATTCTTTTTTTCACTTTGTATGATGTTTATTCACCATGACCGACCCACTCAAAAATCTTTTGGATTTCATTAAACAATTTTGTCTGTCAGAAAGATACTGTGAAATCCTTCTAAAGTCAACCAAGAAAACTGACCTGATGAAAATAAGACATTACAAACATTAGATGAGTCTGAAAACTGATAAATTGTATCATTTGTTACCAAAAGAGTCAGACAAACGTTTACCAGTGTTCTTAGACGTTGATCCGACTTCATAGAAATCACCATCATAATTCTTGGATAATGTGTTGTACATTTAAAATGAGACTTTAGCAACCAGAGATAACATTTCCGTCTCTGACACAGGTTGGTCGATAGGCTTGAATCTCTCCTCGAAATGTCGGTTTCTTATTCTCGTTGAATGCTAGTAAGAAGAAACCTCAATCATTAGCTTCCTAACAGACGATTCTTAATATCTTACAGCTCTTCACCATTTTCATCAATTCATATATATATATATATATAAATGTCTTCCTTACAAAAGTTTAATTACAAGTTACTAAACATCGGGTTAAGCCTTGGTTATACTGTTAGGAATTTAAATTCGGAACCTGCGTATGCCTAAGAGATCCAGAAATACTAAGGTGTCAATTCATTTTTGTTTTTAATTACTTATCAATGTAAATATGAAATTTTTAGTCTATTAATGACCAGATTCTTCGACCTTATCGATAAGAAGGTCAAAATTGAATCTGTATTTCATTAAATCAACATCGATTCAACAGATGGCCACTTAAAAATCTAAAACTACTCAGCAGGGGAGTATATTATTTTGACCAACTTTGTTCTTACATAATTCATGTTTTTAGAGGATAAATTATGAAATGGTCACTTCGTTCTTATAAGTGGCTCATTAGTAGAAAAATATGATCACTGATTTTTTCAAAATAAAAATTATTTTAATACCTTTAGGGGCTTATTGTTTTACTGAGGAGTATATCAGCCTAACAACTTACCCCAGTCTAAAATTGCAACAGTCAAACAAAGCTGGGAGATACTCGAAAATGTGTTACTTATACACCTATCTAATTGGTTACTGAATTCATTTTGAAGACTTCCGTTGAGATATATGCTAATTAGTGAATAAAAATTATGATACATTTTCAACATAATATTCAGCTTAGAAACGGCATATGTTCCCTAAGCGATAAGTAAAAAATGATAAAGATGAAGTATTACTCATTGTACACTGAAGTTTTATAAGTTTAATTGCACTAGGAAATTATGCAAAAACAGTAGACGGGATTTAGTATAATTGTTTTTTTATGACGCCGTCGTTGATTGGACCGGATCGATCGGTCTCTATTAGAATATGGACTTCTGTGCAGATGCTTCGAGATTGCCAAATAGGACGAAATGCACATCCTGGATTCCACTGCTAGCCACGATCCATCAGTAGGTGGGATGTTAACAAAAAGTTGAAATGGAATATGTGTCATCTTTTGAGCTGAAAGTTTCAAATTTCAGTTACTGATTATTATTATTCGTGACTTTTATCATTTAACATCATGGTTTAACTGACTACTGGGAAGTGCGAATAACAATGAAAATGACTCAACTTGTAATGTGTAAAACCATGATCCCTACTAGCCGTTGGACATGAGCCAAGAAATTTTACAGTGCAGACTCCTTTTAGGACTTTCATTCGGCAAATACATTGACTCCTGTCAAGTATGAATAATGTAGTGTATTTTCCGACTTTCAGTAAAGTAATATCAAGGATATGTAATTGGCATTGTTTAATAAGCGTTATCTAGATGAAGGCAATCAGCAAGAAGTCCTGCTGGACCTGTGTTTCGGGATCATTGGCAATCGTCCGCAAGGCGTATCTGCAACCATAACTGAACTGATTTCCCCTTAGAGAACCAAACTCACGTCACTTAGTGCTGCAGCTAGAGACGTTACCAATGAGCTATTCAGTCTGCTACTGACCGCCTGTAGGATTCGATTATACACATTGATTTGTCGCTAGGCAGTAACCTGGAGGTCATAGTAGGTCTTGTTGATGAGTGCCACTGTGTTGAAGAAAAGTGGTCAATCTTGGTCGTATAGTGTTCTGTAAGCTGGGTTGTTTTATCGTCGAGGTTTCGTCGTCTTTCCAGACGACATCATCAGTACTAACTTCAGTTTGAATTGAGTTGTTAATATCTTTCCGTGAGTGATGAAAGCTAGACGATTAAACAACCCAGCTCAGAGAACACAATACAACCAAGATCATCCACCTGAGCTACTAATACTCTCCAACATTTCAAAGGCGATTAAACCATTTGTCCAAAACATATTTCATTCATTAAAATCATTTATAAAATTCTCATGGATCTTAGCAACTGAGTGAGAGGTAACATCCTTGTACTAATTCAAGATTTTTGTGAAGGTAGACGTTTATATTGATGAATATATCTGAATACTGTTAGAATTTTTTACACCTTACTGTTACTGTTATTAATATTTACCGCTTGTTATATATTTCATAAGAGCCAAATCTAAAAATGGAGGAAGATCATTAAGGGATAAATTGGACAAGATTGGATTAAATTTACCAGCTGGACGACGGAAGGCAGCAACAGTCACATTACTAACTTCCCTTGTTGAAGGTAAGTAAATCTTAGTAAGGATTAAATTTTTTAAGTGTCTTAAAAAACTTTGAATTTTAAATGCATCATCAAAGATGATAATTTTTGGGATCAGATCTGTATAGATCAGTATCATGCTATTGTCTTTAATATTGACTATGCTTCACCAAGTAAACAAGGTAAGCAATAGGAGACGGTTATGACATAATTCATATTAGTACTTTATATGCTGTTGGTACATACCGACTGAAGTAACTCCCAAACCTTTTAGAAAGTCTGCGATATTTGAGATGCTTATGCTCCTTTTATGATCACAGTTGGCCTTCTCATTAAAAGGCTAAACGATTAGCGGCTTAAAACTTTTAAAGGACAGTTGTGTATATAGCTGTATGAAGGAGCATGAAACATAAGCTCAAACCTATGAGGGTGCTTTTTAGTCATACAGATTAAATGATTTAATTTGTCGCATTAAAGTACTTTGAAAACTATTCTATGTGACCACTATGAATTCCAAATGACAATACAATACAACACAGTAAAGTTAGGGATTTTACGAAAAGAATAAAGAGTTGAGATAAATTTCAGCTTATATATTATTGGATAAACGCTTTCAATGAGATTGTTTCCTTATGACTATACAGTTAAGCTGCTTACCTTTATTCTGTCAATTTCTTATTAAAAAAAAAGCATCTGGTTCATCATATACGTTCACAAGACATGTATGAACTGAATGAGATAACAAATACCTATTAAATATGTTTTGGAATGGATGAAATCACTCAAATCTGCTGCAAGTGAGGGTTATCATCGATACTCCTAAAGACTTGCAGTTTCGGATTGTTAACTTTAGAAACTGACATAGTATTGAGACAAAAAGTTAAAATAATATCTGCCATTATCTGTCACCTAATTCACATTCTGGGTTGATATAAATCAATACATAGTTTTCAGAAGTTCCCTAGGAAGTTAAAATAAGATGAAGAAGGTTATAAATTTGAGCAAGTGAGGTTATTAAGGAGCTTATTGAGTTTTTTAGGAAACAAGTACTTACTATTGTGGTCATACAACATACTGCTTTGTTTTAGCATTACGCACTAACAATTTTAGGACATAATGTATTTTAAAAAAAATAGATATCTTCGTTTTTCGTATCTTTTAATGCTTTAATCACCCATCACCAATAAGTGGGATGTCTGAGCAGTAATGTTTGGCCCTAAGTTATGGATCATGAAGTTCAACAATAATGCATGTAGTTAAATAGTTAGTAGAAAATTATTTACACGCATTTTATTGTGGTTAATTAAAAACTATATATGATGCATGCCAGCTTCATGAAGTTCCCTGAGGTGTAGGGTGGGATCTGACAAATTATCAACCATCACAAACTTACAATAAATAATTACCTCTGTTTGACATTTAAAACTGGGAATTATTCACTACATATAAAGCTACTATGTTAATAGTGAGCAAGTTTGTTGTATACTCATTATTCGTGAGCTGAATGACATGCTTTCATCATTGACTTTCGCATTCTTTCTGATGGTATCTAACGCAGCAAAGTTTAAACGTGTAATCATCCTTATATCAATTTTTCTGTAGCTAATTTTATACTAGCATTGTTGAAAAGAACATAATTCAGTGAACCGTAATCGGGGAAAATAGTGTGCCTTTCTTCTCACCTGGCTGGAACACATACATCACGTGTCTTCTCTTACATAAGGGTGTAGTATATTTTGAATAATCAAACAAATTTCACAAATTGAATAATTATCACGTTGAAGTAATCCCATTCCAATTATACAGAAATAGCTTATTTGCAAAGTGAAGAATATAGGAGGATTCATTCAGCTTACATTCCGAATTCGAGAGGAAGAGTATTAGTTTTGTGTCAGTGATCTCGGTGGATTGTTATTGTTTACCAGAAAAGATGTAGAAGAAGTAAGTTACAGGAAGAAAACATGTTGGCGTTAAGGAAAATGTTTGACATCAAATAAAAACATGTTTTTCTTTTACAAAAACCAGAGTACACCAAAAGGGGGGAGACGACAGACAAGAATGCATGTAGAGTTAGAAGAAACATAAGATTTTCATCACAACGATAACGGAAAAAAGTAGGAAAACAAATCTTCATGATGAGTTAATCTTAAAAAAAAGCTTTTGAAAATGGATTGAGAGTGACTGATAAATTATAAGAGTATTTTCAATCACTTTTCGTCTCATAAGCTGGACGAAAACTAAAATGAACTTCTGGAATAGTAGTAAATGTTTCATAATGATAAATCACAGTCGCAAGTCGTAATTACTCTTCTTTGAAATAAATGAAAGCCATTCAAGCCTATATCTAAGTGACTAATAATCTAGGTCTCTTTCGATGTCAGTTGTGCTTAGACTTATTTCTCTACATCACAGAAATTCACCCGAAGGTAGACTTGCTGGTTTGTCCCAGAAGTCACAACTTCTCATCCAGTTCTGTCTAATTTTCAATGGTTCTTAAGACTGACTTGAATAATAATTCAAGCCATTTTGAATAAATCAAGAATATAGTGTGTCGATGAGAATTAATTACTGTATGCTTAACCCTTTCACTTTTTGTAGTGTTATAAGAGAAAAGAACCTAATAAGTACTAACTGATTGGAAGAAATTCTGTGATTTCATGAGTTTCAAAGTAGATTTATCAGAAATTCATAAAAAAAAATAACCTTTTTAAAATATTCAGGTATGTGTATTATTGAGCAAAGGATACAACTGAATGCTTTAGATCAAACTCAAATCAGTGACCTCCTTATGTATATTGAATGTGGTCTGTAAGTTGTTAGTTTGATGACATTTTGTTACACTTTTAAACTGTGCTAAGGTATATTGCGTGTTTATACATATATTTACATCAGTAAAAATGCATGAATCAAATAGATTTACCTAACTCCATAAGAATTTGATGGTTGACACAGAAAAAATTTTAAATGAGTTAACGAAAATCGTTTACTCAATGACAACATGAAAATCAGAAAAGATCATTTAGGCATAAGAATAGCAAATTTTGAGAACTAAGAAGTAAACAGGGACATAAAGACAATGATGCTCCCGAAAACACAATTCTAGTCTCAAATTTATATTACCAGATCTTCAGTAATGCGGAGTAAACGCTTCCCGCCGCCTATCGAAAGATTAAGTTGTGTTTTGTAGACGCCAGCAAGCATTTCTTCCGGAACTGAATGAGCCGTCAATCAAACGTCATGACACAGAGCTATTAATCGGTCTGCACTGACCGTCATTTAGGCATGCTAGAAGGTTTTGGCGTCAACGTTGGAGCTTCTATACCTAGTTCCATAGGACCAGATGGATTGATATGTGCATATGGAAATGGCTAGGAGCAACAGTTTGTCCGCCGTACACATATTCATAACTGAGCAGTTAATAAAGATGATTTGCAGAGTGACTAAGTAGAATTTTCTATACGCAACCTTCGTTCATCCACATTTCAGCACCTAATATGCTGCATCTCCGTTGAATTCCGAATTCAAAAGTTGTCCTTTCTTCTACACAGTTATGGGTAACTGATGAGAAACATTTCAATGCAGATATTTATCTAAGAATCTCTCTGAACATTCATTTCTGACGAATCTCAGATTCAGAAGTTGAATTTCGTCTTCTAAATTGTCAGAGGTACTACTCCTGCGGATTCGAGTGGAAGGACAACGGGTTAAATTTCTTTTTCAGTTTATGGGAGCTCAGTTGCGAAAGTTTGTCATTTGTCTATTACATAAAGATTTTCGACAAATAAGTTTTGTAAAATTTCCCATCGTCTGTTGCTGTCAACAATACATTGAGGAGTGGTATCTTTGAGTGTCATTTCATCTCCAGTGTAAGGTTGATGAAGTGACAATTCACTGAAAACTCCAGTACTTTCTGCAAATCGAAAATCGAGTAAAAACACGATGAGTGCATCATCCCATATCTTTTATAAAATTTGAACTGTTTGACAGCTGCTTTGAGTATTGTTAGCTCCAATTTAGACACAAAGATAACTGCTAACAGTGCACCCATTAGCGACCACCCTATCTGTCTGGCTTTAGAAGGCATGACTGAGGCTGAAATGGAAATCAAAGGTTCATCTCACGAATAGCTCTTTCAGGTATTTCTTTTCCTGATATACCGATGTTAATTGCATTCCAGTCGATATAGTTACAGATGAAACAAACTGTTTCACTTACTGGAAGATTTGTAAACAGTGAGTCAGCATCACATGATAACACAATATTATCCAGAATATTCATAATAAGTATGAAAACGATCAACTGGAATGTTATTATCACGTAAACGTTTTCAGTTCAGTCACTTGTCTGGCATTGACTTCCTTACTGAAAACTGTTTACTCACTTTGTTACGAGTTCTTCATTTGTTGATTTCAAGTCACACTAACTAGTTCTTGTCGTCAAATATTTTCTTGTTACTTGCGTAACTTCCATTTCTGCGTTATTATCCTGGCTACAATCTGCTAAAAACTGTTGATGGGAAAATATTGATACTTTTAATGATACATGTAAACACTAATTGTATTTAAAAGTGTTTCTGCAGCTTCTGTAGATGAAATCACGGAAAATGAGTTTGTTCCTTGAAGTTTTTCCTGCCATAGTTATCAGACAATGAGTTGAAATCTGATTTACAGCACGTTGTTATTTCCAGATTGAAGAGTTTCAAGTTATTTCAGTCCAGCTCGTCACATTCTTTTTTTGATGAGAATCAACACTGGGGGAATCGGTATCACAGAAAAATTCTAAAATTTTATAGCAGAGTCGTAGTTTACCACCTGACTGTGA